GCATGAAATGTTGTTGTGAGTACAGACTGTTAGACACATAAGAACAAAGCGGACAAGTTTGGCCATACATGCACAGCTCCACGTTTGGAGAAAACCAGACACAGCATAATAGCACGTACACCTCAAACCATCAATCAACTCTGTGGAGGGGTGATGTGTTTTGTTTTTTCTGTTATTGTGTGCTTATTCTAGAGTCAAATGTGACACCATTTTTCCGACAAAGGAAGCTTGGTTGACCAACGAGAAAGTCATCTCACACACACGAGCAAATCTAAAACAGAAGGTTCGAGGTGTTGCAACGGCCTAGTCAAAGTCCATACTTAAACCTGATTGAATTACTGTAGCGTGAACTCGAGAGCTGCGCACAAATGCACGCCAGCAAGCCTCAATGAACCGAAGCAACCGTTGTAAAGAAGAGTGGGCTAAAAATCCTCCACAACAATGTGAGAAGTCTGGGAAGTCTCTCGCAAGACAATTACTGGAAGTTATTGCTGGAAAAGGTTCTTCTACAAGCTACTGATTCATAGGATGTACTTAGTTTTTCCCAGAACTACATAGAGCCATGTCATTGTATTATAAGAATCTACCAGTGCTTCACTACAGAAGATAACGAACCCGAGAGCCTGAATCTCATCACTACATGAAGTTATCACTGGTTCATTCCTCATTTTGTGCTCTGCCCTTAGGTTCGTTTCCCGTCTCACTTCAGTTCAGACCTGAAAGACCTCCTAAGGAACCTGTTACAGGTGAGAGCAAATACCGCAGGCATTCAGACGTTTAGGTTACATTTATTTTTCTTTAACGTGACCGTGAGAAAAATATGTTTGTGTTATTTTAAGGTGGATCTCACAAAACGTTATGGAAACCTCAAAAATGGGGTCAATGATATCAAGGGACACAAGTGGTTTGCAACAACTGACTGGATTGCCATTTACCAGAAAAAGGTATGTTTTGGTGAATGTACTGTGTGGCATGTGAGACTTTTTCTTCCCTTCAGTTTGTTTTATAATAGTTTCCTTTATGTGACTTTAGGTGGAAGCTCCCTTCATCCCCAAGTTCAAAGGACCAGGCGACACCAGCAACTTCGACGACTACGAGGAGGAGGAGATTCGCGTCTCCTTCACTGAGAAATGTGCCAAGGAGTTTGCTGAGTTCTAGAGTTAGAGAGCAAGAGAGGAAGAAAGAAGGAAATAGGGAGAGTCAAAGGTAGGCTGGTCAAGTGGGAGACATAAGGAGAAAGTACTGTCTCCTGTCCAATCACAAGCACCAGCTACAAAGAGGAAAAATCGGATAGAGAAGGAAAAAAGAGCAAGGAGACTGATAACCAGCAGTGTTGCCTTTTCTGTTGTGTTTTTGTTGTGTTTTATTTATTATTCTGTCTTATTTATGGATCCCTTTATAATGAAGGTGTGCTTCATGGGTGTTGAGAATCCAACTAATTTGGAGTTGCCTCTACACATTTTCACCCGAGATCTTCCCTTTTCCTTTTCCTTTTTTTAAATCCATCTTTTAGACATATTCACACCGCAGCAAAGAGAAATCAGTCTGTCTGTGCTGATCTAGTCCAGTCTCTTAGTCGTTACATGAAGACTAATGAGTTTTGTGCAAGTTTAGGTCTCAGTCTGGACAAAAGTTTCTTAAATTTTAACCGACAACTGGCTAACATGCTCTTTGTTTTTTTTAAGCAGGAAGGGCATGTAAGTAGCAGGTTTAATAAGTCTTGCACACATATGTACTTTCACCTTGGATGACTTTACATTTTGCAGTTTTATCTCAATTTTTCCTTCAGAATTTAAACTTTTACCCTTTCATATCATAGACACACGACATAACTTAAGGCTTGATGGGCCAACAAAAAAAAACAAACAAAAAAAATGAATGCATTGTGTGTGCAAAATAAATTTCATCGAGAGACAGATGATGTTTTAAGGGGAAAAAAAAGTGAGTTACGTTTACTGTGTAACTATCCATCTACCGTTCTTATCATTGTTAGAATTAGTGCATATCTACGGTACTCCATTTTAAATGTTATTAGATACTAGTGGCTCCAATGATATCATGTCACGCTAACAAACAAGGAAATACGAGTAAGGGGATGGAATTAACTCAGTTTTTAAGGGTGTTTTAAAGAAACACTGTAACGTAATGGTATCTCAGGTTTGAACATATCACTTAATAGACATTTTATTAACATACAGCGTTAGGATCAGCAGGTAAATCTGTGATATGGATTTGGGAATTTAAAGTTCTGGTTCAAATTAAGAGAAACAAAAGGGAATATTCAGACTTTTGGTTAGCGTCTTCCACAGTTTGCCCTTCCAGAAGATTTGATTTTGCTAACTGACTCGACAACTTTGTTTTCATGAAAGCACTTCCTGTCTCGGCTCAGAGTTTACGTAATGGCCACAGTGATTCTGCTTACTGAATCAAGCCTTTGGCCCTTGATTACTCCAACTGAAAGAGACCGCTTGAGGCAAACTACCTTGAACTGCTTCCGGCTGGTGGCCTTCAGAGCATTTTGACCAGTCACTGATGGCAGTTTGGATAGTGCGCTTTTATGGTCTTCAATGGAAATATGTATTCATGTTCACCTCATCTTATTACCCATCCCTTTCTTCTTATCACTTGTAAAGTAGGACCACACTCTATGTGACAGTCTTATATGTGACAGCAGCTCTGTTACTGTTTATGTGTTTTAAACATGCACAGTTTTTGTTTCATTTTGTTTTTTGTGTGTTGGTGATGATGTAAAGATGACTGGCACTCCATTTAACAAGTTAGTGAAAGCTAGAGCTTCTGGCGGTGAATCGAGCTAATACTGAGAAGAGAGAAAAATAATCATAGCGCACGGTATACAACCTGCTGATTTGAAGAATACAACAAATAGCACTTTTGGTATTCAGTGTCTCCTTGGCTCCTGAGCTATGGTCACAGAATATTTCAGCAATGGCCAGAGACGGTCGTTACTGTAGGATTTGTTCATTCACAATTTCTGAGATAAAACAAAGTGACACTGATGTTCGTTTCAGACATCAAAATGCCTTCTTTATTGCTGTAATTTAATGTGCCACAATAATGATGGTTTCCTAATTTGATTTACACAGGCGCTTTGGTTTTTCTCCCATCGTTATAAACTGGATAATATAAATTCACATACTTCCCTCGAGTCTGAAACAGTTCAGATAGCAAAAACATATATATATATATATATATATATATCAAGCATTTTCTCCAGGATACACATTTGTTATGTGTAATGGTTTGTGTCTATCATTTGTAATATGGAACAATAGCCCCCACAGCTAATTGTCCACTTGCCATATTTACTTATTTATTCTATCAACATTCTTTTCCCACTCTGTGCGTGACCCCAGATTTACAATGTGGTAATTTGTTTAAAAAAAAAAGATCAATTTGAGAATGTGCATCACAGAAGCACAGTGTCAGCTGAAGGTCTTAAAGGACCACTCCGGTGATTCAGCTTTACTGTTTAGTAAACTTGCATCAGAGGCTGCGTTATCTTATTAGTGCCTTGCATGGGTCAAGCTCCAAAAAACAAAGTCCTACATCTCCCACATCCTTTAAATTCTGCATAAATGTACAGTTTGTAACGCAGGCTGTTTGTGACTCTGCAAGGCCTGTCAGAATTCCACGGGTGATGTGGTGTATTTAATTTCCTTTCATTAGTTTATTTAACAGAGAGAAAGAGATATCAACTGAAACAGGAGACACCATTTCAGAATAAATGGACTAGGACAATAATGCTGGGTCACTTTTAAGGCTACTGGATATTGTGCTTGTGTGTGGCATAGTCCCAAAAGTAAAGTTAAATGACCACAAACCAACTGCCACAGTAAACCTGGAGCTTCACAGAGAAATGAGTCACTTACAAGGCAACTAACATGGATCCGACATGTCTCTCCTGTATTAATGTTTCCCCTTCTTTTTCACTGAGGCAGATTAACCAGCTGAAAACTCCAGATTTTATCAATGAATCTGACGCCAAAATCATAGTGGCAGATAAATGGTGGCAAGAGCTGCAAGCTGTAAGCCTCGTTGTAGTCATCAGCTGGCTTATTGGTTAATTTAAAAACCATTATTATTATTATTAATAAACTGTTTACATCACTTGTTGAGGTTTCACATTCGCTGTATTTCCTCCATGTCAGGTTTAATGTTGAATATATCATCATGGACAAAATGTTTGAAGTTATAAAACAATATTATTATGTGTCTCCTCGATGTTTTTGCAGTGATACAACTTCCTCTCCATGCAGGCACAATGCTGGTACATACTGTCGCACTTTTTAGGGAAATGAGACCCCAATATAAACCATATTAACCCCCGCCACAGACATACTATACACACACACACACACGCATACACACACTGCAAAGGGAAGCGTCTAAAGTCACGGAAACGGTGACATAAAAATACGAAGTGTAATATTTTGCAACATGAGTATCATTCCAATAAAGTTTTACTTGTAAAATTCTCCTGAACTCCCGCGTCCTCATTTGGGTGTGGAACTGAAACGTAAAAGTTGCACCTTTGCCGAAAAGTGAGCGGATGCTGAGGTATTTAAAGTGTTCTCGGTGGGAGGTTGGCGTAGTCTTGAGGTGACATCCATCACTCCCGCCTGATGCGGGGTGAAGCCGTCATCCACCCATCTGTTGACCGCGCGGCTCACTCTCATTCGCCATAACGCTCAAAAATATAACACGCAAATACCCGGGGTGTCCTCGGCGGAGGCTGCGTGCGTGTTTCTTTGTGCTGAAATCCACTGTGCTGCTGTAAACCGCAGGCTGATCAGAATAAGACTGCGAACAAAGAACGTGGCTCTGAGCCACGCGAATGCGAGTCAATTCCACCTTAAATGCAATTTGCGTCTCTGGCGGCAGAGACCATAGGCGCCATCTTCGGTCCACCTTAAGCGCACAATGTGGCAAACGAACGCAAGCGTACCAGCCAGGCTTCCGTCCTCATTCTCCAGCCGGGGATCGCACTTTGGCTTCCCAGCTTTGACACAGCGTCACTTGTGAAACAACAGAGAAGGAAAAAAAGACGCACTCGGGCCAAACCCCATCCGCACCAGCAGGAGAAGATGTCCGAGCCAAACAAGTACCGAGAGTGGATCCTGGAAACAATCGACTCTCTCCGCTCGAGAAAAGCCCGTCCGGATCTGGAGAGGATCTGTCGAATGGTCCGGAGACGACACGGGTCAGACCCGGACCGAACCAGGACAGAACTGGAAAAACTGATTCAAGAGCAGACGGTGCTCAAAGTTAGCTACAAGGGGTCCATATCGTACCGAAACGCGGCGAAGGTGCAAAGGAAAAGCAGAAAGAAGAGTGAGTTTACGGCCGCTGGCAGCAGCAGCGCGGAGGCAGCGAGGGAGCGGACCAAACACGATCATCTGAACAACAACGGCGACAGTGCGCACAGCTTCACGGACCAGGAGGAGGCAGAGGAGGACTCGGAGCCCAGCCCAGATCCACACACTCAAACATCAGGCAGCACCACCGGCAAAAAGCTCAAGCCTGCCTCCAGCCCGAGTAGCGGAAACGGGTGCCTCAGTTGTGGCGCAACAACGGGCTGTGCTGTCGGGAGCGGCTGTAAAGAGGAGAAAGCGAGTGCACCGAGAGACAAGGGATTAGGACAGCAGGCGGCGGGGGACTGCCCGTCGCCCGGTTTCGGCCACAGGACAGGCGCACTAAGCGGGGCTGACGGCGGCAGGACGGCTCAGAGCAAAGCTGGTGCAGTTAGCGCAGAAAAGGAGTGTGCTGTGTCCCGGGCTGACACGCAGAGCAAAACTTGCCCTGGGAGTGTCAGCAGTGTTCATCATAATCAAAGGCAGAAGCAGTCTGTGCCCCTCAAGCCCAAACTTCGAGTCGGAGGAGGGAGCACCAAAACAACGGGGAACCACGCCAACTCGGACCTGGGCGACAGATTAGTCGCTTCTGTTCGCAGCCTGTCCGAGAAGAGCCTCCGAGGGGGCTCAGCCGCTGTGACCAGAGGCCACATGAAGCCGCTTGGGCTGAAGGAGATACTGGGCTATCTGAGCAGCCAGGAACGGCTGTCGGAGGAAAAGCTGACCCGAGGCAAAGTCAAAGTGGTCATGGAGAGAGAGGTGGCGAGGGGCAGGCTGCGCAGGACCCGCTGCGGGAACATTACTCTCCCTCTGAGGGGGGTGGTGGTAGAGGAACCGATGCCGAAGAATGCGTCCGCTGACAGACTTGCAAAGAGCGCACTGCAGGACAAACACGCTGTGAAAAAGGTGGGCAACGCTAACTTAATATTTTCGACACGTCTGGACTGTGCGGGGCTCAGCGAGCAGCTTTGGCTCGATGGATTGCCGATAAATTAATGATCGCGGGTTGAAACCGCACGCACAGCATTAGGACGCGCTTCCGTCGCCCAGCGTGTGCTTCGTTTTTTCTTCTTTTCGTCAAACATCAATGTTTCAAAAAGTGTTTGAGGGGATTTGAGGAAATGCGTTATTGTCTCGGCTGCTTGTCAGTGGGATGCGACCGTGCCTGTGTTGCGTTTGTCCTCTGTAGCCTCGCCAAATGCGTGTCTCTGTCTGTGTGTGTATGTATAGCTCGGATTCCTGCACAAAAGGTGCGGGTTACAGAGAGGAGCAGACAGCTCCGGAGCGGCTTTCCCCGGCTCCCAGGGCGAGAGCGCGCACCAAAGAGCGTCTGTGCGCGGCGCGAGCACGAGCACCTACAGATTTCGTTTCCACTTCGCTGTTTTCGGGTCAATAACATCTGATTTCGTTCCTATAAACTTTAGCCGTGCACACCGGAGCGCGGAGTGTCTGGGCCTGCCGCGCAGTAGGCGGTGTCTGTCTAAACTTGAGACGTGCCGCTGCCGCGCTCCTGTGAGCGCTGCTCTGTCGCGCAGGCCGACGGAGGACTCAGCCACATCGTGTTTACTCATATAATAAAAGCGCCATTCTAACGTTTTTATTATAGCCTTCCCGTTCATGTCCCACCACCCCTCCCGTTTCTTGCTTCATTAAGTCCTTTGTGTCATTTCTGACAGCGCACTCTCCTCCCTCGCGCTCTCTCTCTCCCCCCTGTGTGTGCGTGCAAACTTAGCTATAGTAGGCGGCTATCGTTATTTCTGATCGTTATTTCTGATGTCTTTTTCCAAGTGGGGGGTGTTTATGAGCAGCACTGTCTGCCCCGGAGAAGCTCAGCAGACCTGATATGCTCTTAAACCCCTCAAAACTCAGGGAGCGATTAACTTAGCTTTAAACTCATCTCGAAAAGCAGTGCACCCCCACCCTTTTTTGATTGCGTTTCTTCTGATACAACTTTATGTGTGCTTGCAGCCGCCGTCACCCTCTCTCCAGGAGAATGAGCCGATGGAAACAGCCAGTGAAGAAGAGGAACGGGAAGACAACGAGGAAGAAGAGGAGGAGGAGGATACTCGGAGTTCTGAGGAGGAGGGAGGACTATCCCCGGTAGCCATGACAACCGAACCAGTGCTCATTGAGAAAATCAGAGAAGATGCTGAGATCCAGAAAGCATCAAAGCAGGAGAGCCCCCAGCAGGAGCAGCAGGAGGGAGGCAAAGGTGTGTGCACTGAATGGCTGCGTGTACTCAGAGGCAGCCTCATTAAAGAACTAGTAATATTCTCACGGTTATATTAAATAGCTCTTTACTGACCACTGCTGCTGCTTCTTAAAACCTTCTAGTGGTTATTTGTTTTTTTCTTTTCAAACTGATGTCCAACTTTAAATTGGACTTTTTAAAGTTTTTAATTTTGCTTCAACAACAATTTCAAACTCCAGACTAATACTAATAACTAATAACTAATACTAGTAATTATTTAATACTCGAACAATTTTTCTTTCTTTATGTTTTGCTATGAAAATTGGAATGTGGGCAGCAACTTATTGAACTTTGCAGACATATGTAGAAATAGAGTTTGTACAATTCTGAGGCGTTTCAAAGTAAATATTTGGCTTGACCACCTTTGTTCTTCAGCACAGACTGAACTTGCTTAGGTAAGCATTCCTGTTATTTTTTAAGTAGTCTTCAGGAATTGTTCTCCAGGTTTCCTGAAGGACATTTCAAAGCTCTTCTTCGGATGTTGGCTCCCTTTTGCTCAGGTCTCTGGCAAGATGATCTCACAGTGCCTCAGTAATGTTGATGTCTGTATTTGAACCTGCTGCTACTAATTTTCAGTTCAGTTCTTATGTAATTTGCCATGCATATGCCCTTTCCCTGTTTTTCTTTCTTAAGAATAGCTTTTTGATAACCACCCTTCCACTGAGACCATTTCTTATGAGGTTTCACTGGGTAGTAATAACACAAAGAAATTGTGTTATCTTTGACATATTTTGTGAATTCAGCTAAATGATTGGGAACGCATTATGTATTTTTGCAACTGGGTGCTGGTAATAAAGTGCCTACACATACAATTTACACATTTTTTACACTTAGGTCAGTGTTAGGGAATGTAAAAAACAAAACACCAGTCCTTTGTGAATAGCCAGTTACCAGGACTGGACAGAAAATGAATGAAAAAGCAACCAATGTCCAAAAGAACCTTCAAAATACCTTCCTGGACTCAAGAGCACTTTAATAAATCAGAAGGAAGTCTGGCTCCTTGGAAGTAAAAAATATAGAAATGAGGAGTAGCTCAAGACTTTTTGACAGTACTGTACACAGTAAATTACATAAATAGTTGCTCCTATGCTACCATTAAACTATTTTCCGATATAGAATTTCCTTTCTTCAGTCTTTTTATCTTGCTTTGACTTTTTTTTTTTTTCAGGTTTGCCGGTGCTTGATTTCATCCCCGACACACCAGTTCAGGGAGCCTCGCAGTCACAGAGTAATGATCCAGTCATGGAAGAGAGAGCTGGTTCCCCTGATCAAATACCAATGGAGGTGCAAGTGAGTGTAAGTACACGTGTCGTCCACTTTGTTTTTGTTTTGTTCTGTTTTTTCAATCATTCAAAATGGTTTGACTGATAGTACACAAGTATTATAAGTCAGATATACTGGAGCATTAAATGTGAAAGTATTCTTTGTGTAGTAATGCTCTTTTCCTAGAGGAGTGGTCATTAGTGAAAATCCTAAATTACAAGTTAAATGTTTGCAAAAAAACCAAAAGATGTGAATTTGGACTATTTTAACCATGAATTGACATCTACTTTTATCCTCCATGATGCTGCCTATATGATGTCAACAACTCAGTGCCTGTATCTGCCGAAACCTTCTCAGACTTTTCAGTTTTCCTAGTCAGGAACTCATTTTTCCGATTATTGCTGAAATGTCTAACTGCCAACTAACATAAATATCTAATCAGCCAATCACATGGCAGCAGCTCAGTGCATATCAGCCTGTGGACATAATCAAGACAACCAGCTGAAGTTCAAGCTGAGCTTCAGAATGAGGAAGAAAGTTGATTTGAGTGACTTTGAACCTGGCATGGTTGTTGGTACCAGACAGGCTGGTCTGAGTATTTCAGAAACTGCTGATCTGCTACAACTTTCCTACATAACCCTAGAAAATGCTATCCCTTTATGATAAGGGCATACCCACCTTCTGAGGATTACGTGCCATATCACAAAGCTCAAATCATCCAAAACTGGGGGGTATTTTCAACATGACAATGACTTCACTCAATTTGAATACCTTAATTCATCGACATCTTTCGCATATTTGATTTTTTCTCAATTCCCTTAAAAGCGTTTTTTCAGCCTCTCATAAGAAGGAAGGAGGAATCGTCTGAAGGCGGAATCAGAGTTCTGTACTTATTTGGCTGATCTTAGGTTGTTAAGAAAATTTCTGTATGTTATTAGTCTGTTTAAATATACAAGCCAATTATTTTATATCAGAGTAAGGAAAGCTACTACTACTCCTACTACAAATATCAGTAGAAACCTTGAAATAAAAAACACTCACAATATACTTATAATAATAAATACATAAAAACAGGAAATCCCAAAGTCAGCCTAACAAATAATCAAAAACTTAGAGCACGAGAATGGAAACAAACATTTAAACCCCAAAACTCAAAATCCTGCAACCAATTACAGAAAATCCATCTCATGCTTTTCCCCTGTTTAACCTATTAAACCAAGTTTAGCACACAGATCAGTTCAAGCAACAAATCTGAGAGCAAACTTTAAGAAAACTCAATAATATGCACTAATTGTTTTCATTTAATTTATCTTAACTCATCAAAG